CAAAGAGTCTGCACCCATAACATCAAGCGGGAGGAAGACGCGAAGTCACGATATCGGGTGGCGCTAATGTCTTTGTGGAGTTTGACCAATCGACGTTCATCACATCATCGACCTCCCCTCCCACCATCCCACTTCTATCCCATCCACTGTAGTGTAGACAGAGGTGATGGTAAACATCATCATGTCTCGGATAATTTTCTTTTTAATTTTCCTTGATGATTTGGTTACTAGTTTATCACGCTCCTATCCCCCTTTTTTTAACAGTTTATTTGCTTGCATTCACTGCCAAAAAGCGATTCACAACTTCAACTTCACATGTTGTCCAATTGGGTACATCGTATAGTGGGAGGATTGCATACTTCGGGGCTTGGTCAAGATCATCCTCCAAGGAAATGTTATAACGGCTGTATAGCATGACGGCTATGCTACTCTATGGCTTGGTCGCACGACATACGAAATGCTGTCATCTTTAAAGCAGCTGTCCAATCAACCTTCTCTGCATAATCCATCAACTTGCTCAAGACGCCCGCGTTCTGAAATAAGAAGAGCACATGCGGCAACCTTTGCACTCGCTCACTTCGGTACCTTCACCAAGACAGTTGCCATCATGTCTCTAATTCAGATATTTGTCTCTGTTATCGCCACTGTATGTGCTCGCAGACATGTAAATTAATGACTCCATGCTGAATTACCCAGCTCCTCCTCTACGTGATCGCAAATGCCATCTATAGGCTTTACTTTCATCCTCTAAGAAACTTCCCAGGTCCGATAATTAGCGCCGCCTCACGTATCCCATGGCATATTGCAACATGGTCGGGCACTCGTGACCATGTTCTGATTGAACTACATGCAAAGTACGGACATGTTGTGAGGATCAACCCAAATGAGTTGAGTTTTACGCAGGCAGATGCTTGGAAAGACGTAAGCCACTATTCTGATCAAAGCTGCCTGCTTTGGGGAACGGCATAATGGATTTGGAGCTGACGAACATGTAGATCTACGGACATGGCACCAAGAATACACGAGGAACTCTTCCTGAAAAGGACTGGGCAAAGTACAACAGGGGTATCAATGGAGCATCAAGCTTGGTCAATGCAAGCCCTGAGGACCATGGTCGTATGCGTAAAATCTTTACCCCTGCTTTCTCAGATCGAGCTCTCAAACAGCAGGAACCCCTGTTAATGAAGTACATCGATCTTCTCGTGTCAAAATTGAGAGAAGGACTGCAGGAAATCCCAGAAAAGAAGTGGGACATGGTGAGAATGTACAGTGAGTGCTAGCCTGTATCCCCACGATTACTACCGACTAATCGCCTCCTATAACAGACTTCACCACTTTTGACATTATGGGCGACATCACCTTTGGAGAACCCCTACACATGCTCGAAAATGCAGAATACGACCCCTGGGTTCGCGCAATTCTCGCTGGCCTCATCTTCAGCGCTCGTCTAGAGATTTTCAGCGGATACAAGTACTTCTGGTCTGTCTTTCGCACCATGATGCGGCGAATGAACCGTCGCCGCCGAACTCACCTCTCGCACTCTATTGACCGTGTCACCAAGCGTCTCGAAAAGGGAAGAGATTCACAAGGCGTCGACTTGTGGGATCTTGTGCTCGGGCAAAAAGAAGGCAGGGGCCTCAGCCGGGCTGAAATGGACTCTAATGCAGCGCTGTTCATGGTCGCTGGAACGGAGACGACAGCAACATTGGTCAGCGGTTTGACCTACTACCTACTCAGAAATCCTGCGGCTATGCAAAAGCTAGTCGAGGAAATCCGCACCACGTTCTCTAATGACAGCGACATGATAATGGAAAAACTAGCCGCACTACCCTATCTCAACGCCTGCATCAAGGAGACATTCCGCATATACCCTCCTGTACCTCTTACCATGCCTCGAGTAGTACCCGAAGACGGAAGTACAATCGTAGGGCAATTCATCCCACCAGGCACAAGTGTCGGTATTCCCCAGCACGCCACGTATATGCAACCAAGGAACTTTACAATGCCAACGCAATATGTACCTGAGCGTTGGCTTGGCGATGAACGATTCGAGCGAGATCAAAGACATGCGGTCCAGCCTTTTTCCGTGGGGACGCGGGATTGCATTGGCAAGAAGTAAGTTCGTCCTGACATCGACTGAACTTGGGAATCTGCTAAGACTGTAAAGCATGGCATATCACGAGATGCGTCTTCTCATTGCCAAGGTATTTTTCAACTTTGATATCGAACTGTGTCCTGAGAGTAGGGATTGGAGCGATCAACGCACGTTTGTGCTTTGGCAGAAGAAACCGTTGATGTGCAGATTGAAGGCTGTGAGGTAGAGAGTGAATCTTTGCTTTTCACTCTAGTTATCGACGCTTAACCTTGAGAAGCAATAAGTGCGGTACCAAGTCTGCTTTATTCTATTCATTATCTTCTCATGACCGATAGCTCCCATGAAATCTTGTTCCATTAGCATCTCACACCATCCACATTAACCCACCCACCCACTCAATAATATTATTAGAGACTAAACTCCAATATCCTCAACTCGCAGCAACCCATCAGCCATACCAGCAACAGCCCAGGTCCCATACTCAAGATTCGGATTCCACGCCAACGCCGTAATGGCAGACCGAGCTTCGTGAATGGTAAGACCCCTGTTGGCCTCTGGATTATTAGGCTTCTTGGACATGGCCGAGTGCTGGATACCGGGCTGGACAGCCTTGAAGCCCTCGGTTATGCGGGCGAGGGGTTGGGCGAGAATTTCTGGGGGGATTTGCGACTTTCGTGGTGGTGTCGGCGTAGTTCTAGGAGAAGAATTTGCACTGTCATTCGTCTCCGAAGACGGTGTGCGCGGTGTCCCAGTTCCCTCCTCCTCGTCTGCCATCTCGACATCCTCAACCGGAACTTGAACGACTAATTCCCGCACCGGCCTTCGCCACTCATGCACAAACCATTTCTGCTGCCACGGTATGATCTTATAATTTGTGATTCTGCCAACGGGCACACTAGCCTCTACATTGCCCTCTGCGCCTGCAGCCAGCACCGCGGGATGCACGGGGCTCGTTGCCACACGCGTGATGCTGCTTTCCAGCCGCATGCTGTACAGGTTGTGGTAGTAGCGGCGGATGGGCGTGTGCTTGAGGATGTAGTGTTCGTCCGGCATGACAAAAGTTTGCGTCTGCTCGTGCCATGCTTGCGAGATGCAGAGGGTGCGGCCGCGGATCGAGGCTGTGGTGTCGGCGAGCGGGCTGCGGAGGTCGAAGAGCCGGGCGAAGCCGTCGGCGACGCTGATGGAAACGAGATGCGGTTGCGAGGGCCAACCAGAGGCAATGGTCATGATGTACGTGTGTGCGAATTGACTGTAGAACCAGGGTCTGGCGTTTGGGGTGAAGCTGTCTGGGCGTGTCAAGGTCCAGATGGCTACCGTACCGGCGGCGGTGGCGACTGCGAGGGATAATGATGATAGCCAGTTGAGACAGGATGGGACGGTGTCTGGAATGGAGACGTCGAATGCTGCGTGTGCATAGTGTAAGTATGCCGGTCCGTTTGTTAGTTCTTCGGGCAGTAGTCGTTTGACGTCGAGGATCCTGATGTGTCCATCTGACCAGATACCTGCGAGTAGGCCGATGTGCTCGTTTCCTTGCTCGTTTGAGTCTTCAGATGAGCCAGTGGCTTTGACCGGACTCCATCTTACTTGCTTAGGAGCTCCCCAATCCGTGCAAATGACCTGTTCGAGGCGAGGCTCTTTCAGTGTTTCGTCTTCATCGCGGCTACCCATATCAAAAGCCCAGATCTGGATCGAGGCTGGGAATGGCGCGCTGGGTGAGAAAGCAGGGGCTTTGGGCTGCTCTAGTGGCTTTGGCTGCTGGCTGTCCATGGGTTTCTGCTCAACGGCAACAGCGAGGTATTGTATTTCGCTTTCTTCATTCACGGCCCACTGTGCGTCTTGAATGCGGGCACTCATGTAGAGCATCCAGCCTCGTCTACTGGTGCGGTCTTCGAAAGCATCATTAATGTTCACACAGGCGCCCTTTTCGAATGGGCGAACTCGAGGTCTCTGTGCTGCACCCCAGAGTACGTTCAGCGCTTGCGGGCCATCAGTTTCCATGTACTTTTGGCCCGCTTCTGTCGTTAGTATTTGCGTCTTCTGTTTTTGCACAAATATACCCCAGCCAGTCTCCGCATACCAAGCTCGCATCGTACGCTCCTCCTTTTCTCTCCCCTCAAGACTCTCAAAGAAGCTTCGCCTGCACCCATCGGGTGTACGAAGAGGTAACGTTTCTTGCTCATACCAGTGATCGCGAGTATAAAGGATCGGCTTGAGGGCTTCACTATCCGGGCCAAAGAGATCCTTTAGGCGAATCTCTTGACCTCCAATTTTGCTGAAATCTGCAACGCCCCTGGTACGGAGTTTGGATTCGTTGCTTTGAGGGCGGAGTGCACCACCTCTTGCGAATACAACCGATGATTGTATATTAGCGGAGTGCTTCTTTTTGGTTTGCTTGGTAAGATAAGGGCGGGCATCGGGATCCGAGTTGAACCCGACTGCTCGTGCTGACGATGTTCCCGGGCTACCATACTCTTCATCAGAATCCTCCTCTTCCTCTGCCGCCCCATCATCTTCGTCGTCGTCATCGTCGTCGTTGAATTCTTCGTCCTCTGGGTCTTCTTCCCTTGCATCAGGCATAAAGTCATCTTCGTCGCTTTCGTCATCTCCACCAGCTACCGGGGTCTGACTACGTGATGCCGCAGAACTATCTTCATCCAGAAAGGCATACTCATCATCGACACGATAGGACTTGGGCCTCTTAGCGCGCGATTGGCGACGCGTCGGTGGCTCTGCGCTGGAGATTAGTGAATTATGTCATAGTTGGCGAGGAGATTGAAAGAATAATGGTGATGCATAAGTCATAGACTTTGTGAATGTAGTAACTTGACAAACAATCAGACTGAAACACTTGCGTACCTTCTGACATCCTGGAAAAGGTGGATGTGGAGATTAAAGGTGATTGGACAGGAATGAGAAGCGCGTCGCGAACGACGGCGAAGAAGACCCCGCCACTAACGGGCGGCACACACAACCCCTCAATTCAAGCGTAAAATCTGCTGGACTAATACAGAAACTGCAAATCTTAGTAGGAAATGCCAGAACAGAATCGCGCTACGTTTCAGTTCGGGAATATATAATATGCCAATGCAAATTCTTCCATCAATTCAATCAACGGTGGTATGGTCTAGTGGTATGACGTCGCGTTGTGGTTCGGCGAAGCCTGCGTGCTTCTGATCTTCGATCCGCGCCAGCCTGGGTGTATGTATTACCCTCACATTGAGTACTGCTTGTAACAAAGACTGACTTCATTTGAAGTCGATTCCCAGTACCGCCAATTTGCGACAATTCTTTTTTTTGCTGTTTTGTCTGCCTGGAGGATTGGTTGACTAGCACGATAGGGCGCACGACCCACTCCACTCACCAGGCTAGCGATTAACAAAATCTGGCAGACTGATAGTTTTTGTAACTTGCATAGGACATCATCTCTCGCGATGTTGTGGTAACTATGCACACATGCATTAGATATAGTTTTGCTTTATACGCTGTACAGCGTAGGTTTCTAAAATGTTTCTAGCACGATAGTTAGGATCAAGATATTAGGAAAGCAATAAACTCTAAGCTAGACCAGACTAAAGAGATACTAATGTATATCACTACTGCGAAGAGGAGCCTGTGATAGGACTATAGAGATAGTGGTGGCAAGCAAAAAGGGACCTACATCGCAGCCCGGTTATGCGGACGCTGTGTCAGGCAGATAAGTGTCTCGAGCAAGTCAAACACGCAGTCCTAGTTATCACGGGGCGAATTTAGGATCTTCTTCAGCGGCACTAGCGCGAAAACGAGCTCTAGCAGAATATATAAACGTTGAGGGCGCAATTAGGTTTTTAATAAATGCTAATAAACAGCCATGTAGATGATTGGCATGGTGACAGCGAAGACAAGAGAGCTAGATGAGAGCTAGATCACTGAAAGGCTTGGTCGTTGTCATATGGTATATATGTATAGAAGTAAGACGGATGGAAATTTTAATGAATTGTTCATGCCAAATGCAAAATAGGTACGCAAAGCCCGTGCAATTAACCAAACAAAACTTTGAATGTCTAACACAGCGCCATGCCATGAACCTAATAACCATCGACTAAGAAAAACAGAAGCGCCAGAAGCAATGTTGGACCCGCGCCGCCTTAGCAGCCGAACCTCTAGCCATGAGAGTCACATGCGGAGACTGGGTAGTACCATCCCATGCAGATGAAACCGTAATCGTCGTGGTCGTGGTCGTGGTGGTCATCTTCGGCATCGTCACCAATGTCGAAGGAGGATTGGGAGAAGGGGAAGACAGAGCAGCAGATCCAGAACCAAAACCAGAACCAGAAGAAGACGAAGCAGAGGAAGAAGAAGTAACCATCGAACCAGCACCAGACCCAGAAGAAGTAACCAATCCCAACCCAGAACTCAATCCAGAAGAAACCCCCCTCGTAACAAGAACCTCAAACCCAGTCTTCCCCCACACCTTCGCCCCCTCCTTGGTCCCAAGCTCAAGCCCCCTCTCCACCACCCCGTACCAAACCACAGGACCCAACCCCCTCAACAGCACCGCCTCTTCAGATCCAGGGTCCACGCTCGGAGTGTTGTGGTGGTGCAGTTTATTAACGTGGTCCGGGTAGCCCGCACCAGCATCGGTACCGTCGACGCTGCGCATGCAGGGTGAACTCCCGTCCTGGTTTGTGCCGCAGGGGGTGGCGGGGCGGAAGGAGAGGGCAAGGAGGGGGAGGGTAAGGAGGGTGGTGATGATGTGGGACTTCATGGTGGGTTGTGGAGGGTAAGGTTAGGTTTTTGG